TACCAAAGAAATTTCAATTTCACACGTTATGCCAAATAGCAAAACACTTAATTGTGTCTCTAATAAAACCTCTGTAACTTTGTGAGTATAGGAAAAGTGTCTGTTTTTCCCTTTCTATGATAGACATTTCTGTTTTTTTATGACTAAACCTAAAAACAAATCAAAAAACTGGACAGTCTGGGCCATGATAGCTTTTTCCGTAATTTTACACATGTATTTCATATTAAATCCAGAGAGCTGTGTGGACAGATTCCTATTTTTGTCACAGCAGCTTTTTTTTCACCATGAAGAAAAACAGACACTGACAGAAAGGAGGTTTCACTGGTCTCGCCCGCTTAAGATCAAAGTGGGCTGTATGTGGCCGGCATTGTAAGATAAGTTTGACACCCCTGGTTTAAGGTGATTTTTTTATCACATCTAAAGGGGATTAAAAGATGATTAAGAGTCCTGAAGAAGTTTAAATACTTCTCAGGTGTGTTTAGAGCTTGGTGAACATGTCCAAATATCTCTCAAAGTGGTATCAAATGTAGCTTTTTTGTGTTATAAGTGATTTGTTAGTGGTCTTGCTCCAGATGCCTGTAATGGAGTTTGTTAGAATGTTTTAAAATTTCTTGAAGAAGTCTCAGGATTTATTAACGAAGTCAGTTGAAGATTTCTGAGGGATTCTTGGGGTGTTCCCGATGTTTTTGGATCTGTGATCCTTGTTTGAAAGTTACTTAAAGGAGTTTGGGAGGTTATTTAAGGAAAAGTGTCAACAGGTTCCAAGATGTAGGACACATCTCAGGTTTTAAATAAGGTTTCAAGAGCCAAGGAGTGGTTTTAAGGAGTTATGAAAGAAGTTTTAGGTCTCTGCTTAAACCAAAACATTTTCATCCTAGGGCATCGAATGCTCCAGTTCTGTCAGATGATGTTTGATTCTCGCCATCATTGCCGCTGGCTGTGGGCTGTGGGAATATTGGTTTCTGAGAGATAATGGCACACCTTTAAAAAATGACAAGTCACATGAAGATTGGAGGGTTGGAGGTGTGGTTTGTCAGTAGAGCATAGTTCCCGTCCTTATAGGACCTTTATGCTTGCTTTGCTTTTTTTGTTCCCACTTTCTTTTTTACTTTTTGGTAAAGTTTGGGGCTTAAGCCTAAACCTTACCAGATGGTGAAAGGAAGGAAAAGATGGTGACTTGGGGTAGGGCATTACTTAAAATATGAAATACGACCCTTATTTGCTGTTTTTCAAATTGACAGTGTGGAGTCATTCACAATCTTAGTTTTTTATGACCTATGAGTTACAGACCCGTCTCATTATTACTACAACCCAGTGCGTCACTTGGGTTCCCTGCACTTAAATTTGAGATGCTGGAGGCTTTGACAAAAGGGCAAAATTTGATGCCCCAGATGGTGAGGACAGGCTGCCCTATGCTTTTCTTATGAATCTGAGCTGTTACCAATAGATCACCCACCCTGTCAGATTGTTGTAAATGAGATATGAGAAAGAACAGATAATTTGTTCGTCACAGTGCTAGAAGCTGTGTGTTTTTGCATGGACAAGGTCAGATGCAGCAGCTAGACAAATAAATATCTGTATTATCAGAATGATGCTGCAGCTTTTTTTGTCTTTCCTTGAGGAAAGACAAAAACAGAAAATGAAACGGTTATTACTATTATTACGTTTCTTGCCTCCCTACTTGAAGAAGAAAGACACGAGGCATTTTATTTATTTATTTATTTATTTATTTATTTATTTATTTTTTCATCTCCTGGCCCAAGAGCTGGTCGACAGAGCAATTGAGATGAGGGCATATGCTGGTCTGGGGCACGCTGCCCGATGCATGCAGGTTGGTATATAACTATAAAGGTGTAGTTAACTGAAAAACAAATAACTACGAAATAATGAATCACAGTCTGATAAAAATGCATTATTTTTGTTTGGTTCAGGACTTGGAGAGGGCTCGTCAGCACCACCAAAACCAGCTAGAAATTGCTCAAGAACTGCAAGACAGAGCAGCACAGGGCAGAGCCTCATCCAACTTGGGTAGGTTTGATGGAGGGTCATAGAGGGGTCACCTGGCTGGAGGTAATAGGTTTTTTAATTTGGCGTCTGAATCTGGGATTTTGTTGTGGGAAACTAAAATGGTATGCCTTTTTTAGCTTTGGTCATTTTAAATGGCAAATCTATCTTTTACTAACAGTAAAATCAAAGTATGGCAGGTTTGACACACTGTGGTACTCCAGAACCTGATGACAGCTACTGTGTAACAAAATTAATAAAAAAGTAAACCGTTATTTACTTTAGGTCTTGAGTGGTTCACTCTCTGTGCCATCAATAGCACAATACTACTCTCACTTGGATGTGCACCTGTGTATCCTATGCAGCTGCAAACATTTGATCAACTAAAACAGACATGTACACCTTTGGTTCCTGTCAACATTTTTTTCAAATAATAAGACTGCATCAATGCCATTCTTCCCCTTTTGGCAAACAACAGATTCAGCAGAGCTAATTTTCAGCTGCAGTCCATAGCAGGTAGGTGGCATATCAAATGAATCAACAAAACCAAACAGATATATGTGGGCAACACACCAAACACACACACACACACACACACACAACACATCTTTTCCACCAACACAGCTCAGGCACACATACACAGGACATGTATCCGAATCCTTAACCACATGGGATTGAGCTGAAATCAATGAGATGACAGCACACTTATGACAAATTGGATATAGCAGGTTTCATTTGACGTAGACGTGACGTCGACGTAAAGCGCGAAATTTGACTGGCGGTCGGAAGTGAAAAAGATAAGCGCAAAATCACAGACAGACAGTACGCAAAATGCCTATGTCCTGTTGTGTTTACGGATGCTCCAGTAGGTCGACCCGAGAAACTGATAAACGGTATTTTAGGGTACCAAAAATAGCCCAACGAAGAGGAGAAAAATGGAAAATTCTAACCGAAAAACGTAGGAAAAAATGGATTTTAAATTTACGTTTACAGTCGGGAGGAGCAGAGTCTGCCAATGCCCGTGTCTGCAGCGACCACTTCGTCAGAGGTAATGTTATGTTTGCAAACGAACTTATTAGCATTAGGTTGTCGTTAAATTCTCGTTTACTTAGTGCTTTTAAGTTAGTAGTCTAATATTGACTTGATTGGGACTATAGGCTGCCCAAGTGCTTTGGATGACGAAGAGTCGGAGGACTGGGCTCCGACGGTCAATCTCGGCTACGAACGAAAACCCAGATCGGAATCAGTTCTCAAACGAGAGAAAAGAATGAAGCTTAAGGCAGAACAGCATCGATGTGCAGAGGCGATTTTGGATATGCAACAGACGGCTGAGAGCCCGGATTTGAGCCTAGTGACAGTGGAGAACCCCGAACTGCAGCTTCCAGCTGAGAATCCACAACCAGAAGACTTCAGTGTGAATGAGACATTCACTTATCCAGGTAAGATATTGTGCTGAGATGTAAAACAAACAAGAATCATGTCAAAGAGAAAAAGATGCCATTATCTGTAATGATTATGGTCCAAGTTACATATTACATGTTTGTGATTTTTTAATCACAGAGTAAATCCATACCATTTTATTCAGAAAAAAAGAAAAAGTGGCACTTATTACCGTCAGGCACACACCACAGGTTTTTGTACACTGCTATGGTTCTTATATTGCCAGATTCCAGACAGTCTCCTTTCACAGATAAGTAAAGATATCCGTAATGTAAGGTTTCTGTGGTGAGAAACATATAAATATATTTTTTGTTTAGACGCAACATGTTTTTTTGATTAAAAAAAATAATTACATTAAATTAACATAGTGAATTAAACACATTACACCAGATTCTAATAGCCCACTAAAAAACTACAGTGAAAATGAGTAAAAATTGAGGTTGCCTCTATTATGCTGATTATGCTCCCCCACTGTTATATTGCAGGCTGTGCGGATGCTGGATGCCAGACAGAGCTGACGATGGATGACATCGAGAAGATGGAGGATGTTTTGAGACAGAACACAGCAGAGCTGGTTGATCTTCGGAGCAAGGCTCTGGACACACAGTTCAGCCAGGAGGCTTTTGAAAAAAATGAAGACAAGACAAAGTTCTACACAGGGCTCCCCAACTTCTTAGTTTTAATTCAGATTTTTGAACTGTGCGAGCCCTATATCACCTCGGGACCTATGTCTTTGTTGTCCAAATTTGAACAATTCATACTAGTTTTGCTGAGGCTGAGACTAAATCTGCCCCTGAAAGATTTAGCTTTCAGGTTCAATATTTCTCTGTCCACTGCTTCTAGAGTTTGGCATAAAGTAATTGACATACTTCATAAAAGGTTAGAGTTCCTAATTGAGTGGCCAGAGCGACATGTTCTTCAAGCTACGATGCCACTGAGTTTCAGACAGGCATTTGGATGTAAAGTGGCTGTGATTGTTGATTGCTTTGAAGTCTTTATTGAGAGACCATCTAATCTTCTTGCACAAGCTCAAACTTGGTCCAACTACAAGCACCATCACACTGTAAAATTTTTGATTGGTGTTGCCCCCCAAGGCTACGTCACTTACATATCTTCTGCCTGGGGAGGGAGAATTAGCGATAAGCAGATCACAATAGAGAGTGGCCTCCTAAAGAACTTGTTACCTGGAGATATTGTCCTTGCAGATCGTGGGTTCAATATTGGCGATAATGTGGGGTTTTACTGTGCTTCACTACAGACACCGGCATT